TCAATCAGGTCAGCAAGACATTGGATAGAATCATATATAATCACAAACAAATACAAGTGCGTTATTAAGATAATCAATGAGTCCACACATATTCGTTGACGTTGCGTTAAGCATTACTGTGTTTTGATTTTTTGGAGTTCCATTGCTTCGTTTGTGTGTGTGTGTGCTTGTGTGTTGTGTGTGTGCGTGCGCGCGCCGCCGCACGCGGGCTGTGTGTGTGTGTGTGTGTGTGTGTGTGTGTGTGTGTGTGTTGTGGTGCCCTTGTGTGTGTGTGTGTTGTTGGTGATGTAAATCACACTATTTAATGTGCAACGCTTGCGAATAGTGTGACTGGTAAACTCAGTGTTACGTATGTGACTGTAGGCCTGAGATATAAACACGCAGCTAGCAGGCCTGCATACCTTCTAGACCGAACATTAATTCTGTCGCCAGATAACGTTTCTAGATTTTGGGGTAATAACCCTCACCAAAAATACACCGTATAATGCTGACTGTAGATTGCAAGATGTGCGTATTGTGACTGTTTAAGGATTGATGATGTGCGTAATGTGACTGTTTAAGAATTTTAGATGTGCGTTGTGGACTGTAGATTGAGATGTGGTATGGGTACTGTAGATTGAGATTTGCGTATGTTGACTGTCTATGATTGAGATGCTGCGTATGTGACTCAGCACTGGTATTACCGAGATGTACGTACGCGGGGACTAACTGAGTAGTACAATGTACGTGTGACTGATATAGACCCTGATATACAATAGTGGAAGTGATAACGAAGGAATGCCACGATTTATTGGTTCTTATATTATAATATAGCTCTTGACTTTGCATTGAAGTGAAATAGTGTGTCCTGCTGTCATTCTTATAATATCGATGCACTTTCTTTTTCTGTTGTCGACATTAGTGTTCTTGCACGCGCCCACCCAAAACTGTTAGCGCCTACCGTACCGGCTACATATAGTTTACATAATGTATAATATAAAGTTCATAACGGAAACTACCAGGTTTGTCAAAACCTACACCAGGTGCAGAACAAAGCCATCTCGCATGATGAAAACGAGGGACCAAACAACTACCCCATAGAAATTCCTTCACTCCATGCACCCCTACTAGCATGCCTGCCACACCGCCTTCATTTTAAAACCGAGGAGCACATAATCTGCTATTAGCGCATACCTTAGATAGTCACTAAAGGACTCTGCAAACGGCCACCAGCAGACTATAATCTAGGAACTCGCCACGACTATATGTTCTAGAATGCCGTATCGCTCACTTGAAAGCCATGTCTCACAAAGATTCCTTCATCCGCGGGTGTTAAACTCTGACCTATCTGACGCAAACCTTCTCTTCACACTACCCAGCGATTCAATTTCCAATCGAGACTTGCCATCTCTATGACTAATAAACATAGTCCCAGGGCAAAGCTGCTACAAACTCGGACTCTATTACCTCCCAGCCTTGTGTTCTCTCACGGGGCGTTTCACTGGACAGCTATAGTGTTGCCTTCTCACGTTGCCAAGCGGCTACTGCAACTCTACATTGGAAAGTGGCAAAACATTATCTCCTCAATAACCGTAACTCCAACACTAACCCTAACACTAAATATCTATATATCGGATATCTATATATAGGGGTGTCATCCACAAAAATTAATCTATGGTGTGGGGACAGATATGATGATGCAAAAACCCTAACCCTAACCCTAACCCTAACCCTAACACTAACCGTGATCCTAACCCTAATCCTAACACTAGTGCTGCCACGTTGCGGTACTGTCTCTCCACGCCCGGGGATAGCATTTCCCCTAGAACACCTGCGTCGACGGAAGGTCAGGTGATGTGGCTGCACTTGTGTTAGGATTAGGGTTAAGGTCAGGGTTAGGGTTAGGGTTAGGGTTAGGGTTAGGGTTAGGATTAGGGTTAGGGTTAGGGAAATAAGGCCATGTCTAGCACGGAAGTATGACTTTGGAAGATTTGGTCTTTGAAGCGTACGAAGTGACTAGTGCTGCTACGTAACGGCACCCTCCTTCGACGCCCGTGTTCGAGCAACACCCGTGATTTAAAACCAGAGCCAATGCGCGTTATCATGACTGATACATAAAAACAAACACATAATAAGATGGAAATGGAATATTACAAACATTACGATACCTCCAACGGCGACGAGCGACGCGAGCGTCAGTTCATGTATATTAGCATAGGGAAAATTGCTGCGGGATGCTGCGACCAAACTGAAAATTTTGAATCACAATCAAAGTGAAAGGATTTGCAATGCGTACAAACTGTCCGGCGTCCACGCTTTGTTTTAAATGCGTAACATTGGGCTCATACCATTTACTTTAGGCGCTATGTCGCCGAGGTGGCGATGTCACATTCGCTATACCTTAGGGTAGGAATGGAAATGAGGCGGGCAGTGCCGCCCCAGCGAAGTAGTAAGGTCAGAATTTGCGATGGGCACTACCTGCTTGGCCACCACGCTCTCTTTTGCGTGTTCCACATTGTTTCTACGTCATTTACTGTGGACGCTACGTCGCCGAGGTGCCGACGTCACGGGAACTCGCGAGGACGCGGCGGAGCCTGAAGTTACAGAGAACAAGGTGTCGCTCATCAACGAGTGCGCGCATGCACGTACATGGCGCAGGTGCCGATGGGGCGGAACTAGCGAGAGTAGAGAGGTGTGTAGTACATCAACGAAAGCTTCAGTTTGCCATGGCTGAGATCAAAGTGGAACGGAACTAAAGAGAAAGTGAGTGAACGAGAAAGAGAGAGAGAAGGGGAGAGAGAGAGGTGGGAGAACTTACTAATACGATGGTTTCAGTGCGATATGGTACGTGGTTTAGAAATAGGTGAGGTGGAACTAGAGAGAGAAAAGCGGTGCAACGAAAGCTTCACTGTGAGATTTTATGCGAGATATCAACCTGGCATCTGTGTGTTGGATTTAATAAAGCATGGTGTGTGTGTGTGTGTGTGTGTGTGTGTGTGTGTGTGTGTGTGTGTGTGTGTGTGTGTGTGTGTGTGTGTGTGTGTGTGTGTGTGTGTGTAGTA